CTTCAGCAAAATTAGTAAATGATTTAAACTAAACAAAGGGGCTTTATGGGATTTTCAGCAGGAACCGCCTCACAAGACTTTTGAATGACATTGAAATTGTGCATCCTGTCAGATGCACAATTTCGTAGAGACGAAGAGATCTCTAGAAACATTAATGCATACAAATGAAAGTAAATCTCTTAAAATGTTAGAACTAAGGCAGATGTATCTTTGAATAATGCACCATAATGTTCCTCATATGCTGTGGTTATTTCAACCAACCAGGTTAATCAATGTGTTGTTTTAACCCTTAAAGCAGATTAAATTGATCTGTATGTGTCTGAAATGTATGAGATCTGGTCTTGAATGAAAGCTAGTGACATTTGCAATCTGTTAGTGTAAATGAAAAACTAGTAGTACAAACAGTATTCGTCTTGTAACATTTGATGTAAGATAGTTTCAATCTTGCAAGAGTTCTTCCCCGTGAAATCTACATGCAGTGTGTTAATAATTGACCCTTTCTACGTCGGCACGGGGTGTGGCCCCGCCCTTCATGGCAATTGCTCATTGGCAGACAGTGCCATAGGGATGGATCAGACCAGGTCACTTAAAGACACCCTGCAACAAAGAAATTTTGCTTTGAAACTTCCGCAAACCGACTTTCATCAGTCCGTCACCTCAGTAACCCAGAACTACCCACCCACAAGCGAGGGAATTCCAAGGACGTCACAGAAGCCACCAGCCAATCAGGAGCACTGTGTTTCCCCAAGGCCAGCTGGCGAGGGAGATTCATCTTCAGCAAAAGTGCAAGTAGCAAACAAACGTTGTCTCTTGCTGATCTGGTGCAGATTAATCTTAAACAGTTAAAGATAAGCTATATCTCTGCTTTTGTGGTTTCTCAGGTGTTATTCTAAGATCTTGTTAGAAGTATTAGAATTAATTTGGGACGTTGTCAACTCATTTTACATCCTCTGAACTGCCTCTGTGTGTGCGAGTTTGTTTGTTGTTTGCTTATTACGTAGTGAGTTTCATGTATGGTAGTTTAGCTCAATAAATCTTTGTTCTCATTTTGTAAGAATTGTGTTCTTGTTTATGTGCTTCTAAGTCATTGCCTCGAGCTGTAGATCTTGTTACCTTGCTAAAGGTTAACTCAGTACTGTGTTATGTTATTATCGTTGGCCACGTAAATAATATTAACAAGATTGGTAAGATACTGTTACGTAGCGGATGCACCCCGCTACGCACATAAATTTAAGGATGACCGCTATAAAAAGTTCCTGCTCCCCAAGCACACACACACAGGCCAAGTTGTCAAAAAGGGGTATCAGATTTATTAAACAAAAAGGTCAAAATCAGAATTAGGGAACAAAAAGGCCAAAACAACAAACAAAACAAGGTAAGCTACCTAATATTAAACCTCTTATTTATACCAAAAAATAAAGTTCCATAAATGGCGCCGCCCCTCTCACAGCTGCACCTGATCTCCGCTCATGTGGAGAGAGAGAAAGATAGATAATGGAGGAAACACACACAGAAACAATACACACTAGCATTGTCACAAATAATGTTACTCAATATTTAACACTAACATTTTAGGCATCTGTCCATCCCGTTTTGCTTCTTTCTTTCATTGCGCAGTGCAGGCTCAGATACTAGGGGTACTCTACAATGAAGCCGATGACTTAATTGAGATGTTTTAAATAAGGGAGATTAGAAAACGGTGTAGGGCCTAGTGGGCTTGAGGAATGACTCGTCGGCAACCTGTGGTTTTGGGGAAAAGTAACTGCCACCTATTGTTGAGGTCAAGCCTTTTGCATTTTTCGTACAAGAGCCTCTTTATCCATGTGCAAAGTAACTGAGTAGAAAGCACAGTAATTTTTGCTTCCCCCCCACTGTCTTAGATGAAACTGCGTTTGGAAGTATCGTATCCAGAGGTTTTTTCTTTTAGTGTTAAGACTAAGTTGGCCAGAGCACCTGTCTTGGGAACAGCAGGTGCTAGGTTCAAATCCAAACTGCACCTTTCCCTCAGATTATGGGAGAGTGGCTTTCTGATCTGAAACTCTTTCAATGGCCGATAGCATATGTTTGTCCTGATTTCCATTTTCCGAGCTGACTCTGGGTTTGGATGTAATGAAACTGGAGGTTCCAAAAAACACAACACATGATTAAGGATAGATTAAATAAAAAAAAATAACACATTTGTTTTGCTTTGATTTTGAACAGAGGCCAGGTTACCGGTCAGGTTTGAGACATGATCATCCAGACTCTAAAAGACCACGTCCATCTTATCAGCATTTTCTTTATCCTGACATGCTTGTTTTTGTTGTGTATTGGTTTTTTTCTTCTTTGATTTTTGTTATAGAGCAAATGTCTCTTACGTTCAAATTTTGTGGCGCTGTGGCTTAGCTGGTCGAAGCACTTGTCTTGTAATCAGGAGATCCTTGGCTCAAATCCTAGCAGCGCCTCAGTCCAGGTGGAGCGTGTGCTTGTTTTATAGAGCTTGCCGGAATGAATTATAAAATTGTATAGCTTTGAGGCGTAATGAATAGTGCGACAAATAAAGTTAAACAACCTCTTTGCTTGCCATTTGTAGACTTGCTGTCTTTTTTTAGTCTCTGTGTGCAAAACCATCTTGCCTTCTTTCTAGCATTGGTGCTGTGGCTTAGTTGGTCAAAGCGCCTCTCTTATAAACAGGAGATTCTGGGTTCAAATCCTAGCAGTGCGTAATGTACAGGTGCCAGGGTTGCTTTTTCTTAAGAGTAACGAGTGTTTACGCAGCGAGGTGTTTAGCAGTCGGTTTCTTAACAAAACTCAAATCCTTTAGAACGCTACTCGTTCAAGAGGACTTTGGATGATGCCTTTATATAGCATAGTGTGGTAAGGCGTAACCAACTGGACTTTAATATTTCAAGTCCAGACATTCCCACATGCAGCGCTACCGTTGTTAGTTTTTTTTTTTCTTTTTTCGATTAAACAATTAGCCCTTGTCAACGTCGTTTGACACTGTGGCTTAGTTGGTCAAAGTGCCTGTCTAGTAAACAGGAGATCCTGAGTTCAAATTTCAGCAGTGCCTTGTGCGCAGTTGGCTGTTCTTTCATGGGCCAGAGAGTCCCAAAAAGTGCTTTCTGTGCAACAGTGCTAGAGGCAACAGAGCACTCAGGCTCTGTGGTGCAATGGATAGCGCATTGGACTTTAAGTCTGTGAGCCGAGCCATTCAAAGGTTGTAGGTCTGAGTCCCACCAGAGTCGCAAGCTTTGCCCTTTTTCTTCACTGACTTAAGGTTTGGCGCGTTTCCAACATTTTAGGCATCTGTCCATCCCGTTTTGGTTCTTTCTTTCATTGCGCAGTGCAGGCTCAGATAATAGGGGTACTCTACAATGAAGCCGATGACTAAATTGAGCTGTTTTACATAAGGGAGATTAGAAAACGGTGCAGGGCCGAGTGATCTTGAGGAATGACTCAAAGGCAACCTGTGGTTTTGGGCAAAAGTGACTGCCACCTATTGTTGAGATCACGCCTTTTGGATTTGTCGTACAAGAGCCTTTTTTTGCATGTGGAAAGTAACTGAGTAGAAAGCATGGTAAATTTTGCTTCCCCCCCCCACTTTCTTAGATGAAACTGCGTTTGGAAGTATTGTATCCAGAGGTTTTTTCTTTTAGTGTTAAGACTAACGGCTGTTTCACACCGCAAGCGTCAGCAGTGCATGAGCAGAGCATGAGCAGCGCGTGTTTTTTCGGCGTCCATGTTAACAGATTAGAGCTTTCATATCGCACGCAGCAGCAGCGCGAGGCGTGAGCGTCGCTGAAGCAGCAGTGCAGCGATAGTTTCGGCACCGGGTCTATTTTTGACACGCTGCTTATGCTCATTTAAAGTGACAGTGCATTGATAATGACCAAAACACAATGAATGACAGTAAAAAGTAGCAATTGTACCCAATAAATGCCTTAATAATGTCAACTGATTTATATATAGTAAATTGTAACCCAGGTTACTAGTGGGTAGTACACAGCAATAGAGCAAATAGAAATACCCTTATAAATATGAAAAAAAAAAAACATTGGCAGAATACTCGATTAAATAATATATATTAAAATTATTTATTTATATAAATAAATCATAATAGAGTATTAAACAGCATTCAAGGGAATAGTGCTTTAGAATAACATCATCGTGCCTTACACTAAAGCAGATCAGATTTACAAACAATAACAAATCTCTCTTGTCTGTTAGCTTGTGTTTACCGTTGCTATGGTGATTCAGTGTTCGCAAGGGAATGCAGAGATGTAAGTTGTTATATTAATAACAGTAGAAAACTATTAGATTTATATCTTTTAATTTTTTAAATGCGTATTAACTGTGAAAATTGACCATTAATAAGATGCTGAAATGATTTCTATCATATATTTTTAATGAAGGATTGAGAGAAAAAAACAAGATTTGTATCTGTGAATGAAATCTACACACGAGTGCCACCTGGAGTTTTCCTGGTTTTTCGCTTTGATTTTGAATGATTTTCTTGGTGAGTTCGTGTTTTTATTATTATTATTATTATTATTGTTTTCATTATAACATGATATAAACTAGTGTCAAAAATGTGTTTCATCAATTAACCATTTGTTTGGTCTAGTAAAAACACAGTATTATACACAGTATTATACAAGTGATTGTGTAAAGTTTAAGTGAGAGAGTTTAAGTAAAATGCTGTCATTTGTAAAAAGAAAATGCCAAATAGGAGAAAGAAATAGGAAAAACACAGAAATTCAGCAGAGAGAAGCATATACATGGTCATTTATTGTTGCTGTTTATTTACAAATGTGTTAAGCTGAGATAATGCATACACTGTAAAATGCTAATGGTTTTTTTCTCCCCTTTGTTTGTTTGCTTGTGCATCTTCTTCTGGTTTTTCATCGGTGAGATGTTCTATTGAAGTCAGTTGCTGAATGTGATCTGCTCTGCATTCCAATTAATTGAAGTGTGAACTCTTTTCTGGATTTGGATTGTCTCAACTTCCATCGGTGCGTGTCTAATTGTGGAGTTGGACTGGCGAGCCTCCCATTAAGTGGATTTTTTGGATACACCTGTTGGAAAGATACAAAGAGAAACCTATTCAGCGTCATGGTAGGAGTGTAAATTTACAACACACTCACAAGTGCAACATCCTGGATCTCTGGAACTGAATTTGCAACCTAGTTGTTTTGCAAAAGAATCTTTTTGAGTGTTCATCACCTGTACTGGACTTTTGGGACATTTTGAAATGTTTTAAGTGAATGTTTTATTTTCATTTTTATTTTATTTGTACATTGTTTCATTGGAGTGTTCATTTGTTGCAATTTTTGAAGCTTTATAGAGAGAAGTTAATTGGTTTAAGAAGGGAAACCTTGATTATATATTGAATAATAAAACAATTTTAATATTGTATTATTAAGAGGGTTTTGGACGATGGCATTATATAGCATGGTATGGTGATGCGTAACCAATTGGACTTTAACATTTTTAAGTCTAGACATTCAAACATGCAGTGCTACCGTTTTTACCGTTTCTTTTTTCGATTAAACAATTACCCCCTGTCTGGTTTTGTGGCTTAGTTGGTCAAAACACCTGTCTAGTAAACAGAAGATCCTATGTATGAATCCCAGCAGTACCTTATCTGCAGTGAGCTGTGCTTTTATGGGCCAGAGAGTACCAAAAATTGCTTTCTGTGCAACAGTGCTAGAGGCAGGAGCTCTGTGGTGCAATGGATAGTGCATTGGACTTCTAGGCTGTGAGCTGAGGCCAGGACGAGCCGGGGCAATTGCCCAGGAGGTTAAGCAGTGAGGCCGAAATCATGTTGCGTTTCCACTGTCGGGCTAGTAGCTCGCAGCACGTCACGCAAACCCCGCCCCATAACATCCCCCGAATCAAACGTCACACAACCCACCCACTTCAGCGGGAATCAGGCAGATAAAGCACACCATCACATCCTCACGAAACCATTCAAATAAAGACAACTGAAACAAACAATTGACACGTTACTGCACAACATTACATTTTATGTCTATATGCACATGCCTGTGTGTTCTCATTCATCATATTCATTTACTCACCGACCGACTGAATTTGAAACTAATTTTCATGTGAAGCAACACGCCCCTTCAGCTACTCCAGAACGCAGCAGCATGAGTGGTCTTTAATGAATTGAAAAGAGCACATGTCACTCCGCTACTCACCCGTTTGCACTGGCTGCCAGTTGCTGCTCGCATCAAATTCAAAGCTCTGATGTTTGCCTACAAAGCAACCTCTCGCTTTGCTCCCTCTTATCTGCTCTCACTTCTGCAGATTTATATGCCCTCAAGAAACTTGCGTTCTGTGAATAAACGTCGCCTCGTGGTTCCATCCCAAAGAGGGAAGTAATCACTTTCCCGAACTCTCGCATTCAATCTGCCCAGTTGGTGGAATGAACTCCCTAACTGCAACAGAACGGCAGAGTCACTTGCTGTCTTCAAGAAACGACTTAAAACTCAACTATTTAGTCTCCTCTTCACTTCCTAATCTGCAATTGCCTCTAGCTATACCACTAACTGTACTCAAAAAAAAAAAAAAAAATCTTACATTACTAATGCTTTCCTTCTTAGACTTTACAGACCTGAAACTTGCCTACAGCACTTATTTATTGTTGCTCTTATAGTTGTGTAAATTGCTTCCTTGTCCTCATTTGTTAGTCGCTTTGGATAAAAGCGTCTGCTAAATGACTAAATATAAATGTAAAACAACGAGCTGTGTACACGCCCTTAAAATGACACATTATAACACATTATAATAAAAAAATCTGGATTGTGTTTTGAACTGAACCTAAACTGGCACACTCAGAAGAACCATAATAATGTTAAATCATAAAAAAAGGGGTAAACTATGTGACTGTCAGGGTTCGGGAAGGATGAGGGAGCGAGGACTCAAGTGCAAACAATAATTGGGTTTTATTAATAATAAAGTACACATAAAACAAAAAGGCAAAACAAACAACCCCGAGGGGGAAAAACTCTAATAAAACAAATAAACGAACAAACAAACTTGACTGGCTGGACAAGACAGGGCTGGACACAACAGGACAGGAAACTATCAACGACGAACTGGCAAAGGACTGAAAACATGAGGGGGGTTATAAAGCAAAAAGTAAATTGACACACAGGTGAACATGACAAACTAATAATGAGTAAACAAGGAGGGTGGGACTAGACAATAGACGGGAGAGCGCATGACACAGAGAGACAATACAAGCCATGCGCTCACATAACACAACACTGAAGCACACGACAAAAGCACGTGACCACAATGTAAACACAGAGCCACGTGCTTTGACAAGAGACGCAAGACACGAGCACACGATGAATGAAAACACTCACCGTGCGCTCACACACGCAGCGTGCATGCTTCATCCCAGCGCCGACCAAAACCGAAACCAACAAGATTGAGACGCTGGGAATGAAACACCATGCTGCTGACAGACGAAAACACAAACACGAGTACAAGAGCGCACGCGTCTGAGGGAACATAGAAACAGGACCAGACATGGGTAGTGTCAGAGCTCTGCCACCAAAACTAGAATTTACAAGACGAGAGTGGCAGAACCCTGACAGTGCCCTTTAAGCAATGTGTTAACTTTATTAATTATTCAATAATCATCAAGATTGATAAAAAAAGTTCAATACAGACAGCAGTGAACCTGTGCACACACACACACATCAGTGAACATGTACACACACACAGTTGGTCCAGTAGGCCTACATACTGTATCTACCTTGGAAGAAGTGATATGGTTCTTAAAGTGTTGTTTTACGTATGGAGCCTGATTGAATTTTATTATAGTGTCTTCGTAAAAACATCTGTCCATAATTCCTAAAAATAGAATATATATATATATATATATATATATATATATATATATATATATATATATATATATATATATATATATATATATATATAAATAAAGAAACTGCAAAGAAACGATTCAATCATATTAAAGAGATTTTAACTAACCTTCTAACACAACTAGCGGTCCAGGTCCCTGATGGAATATGGCTCCCCAGACATGAATTTTTACTGGATGCTTTGCTTTCAGTTTCACAACATGGCGGTTTATTAATAGGGTATGTCCTATTAATAAATTTATAGGACATGTAAGCTCGTATAAAGCAAATAGCCTAAATAAAGAGATGCATGGATTAATGCAAATAAATAAATCTTTTCATTATGGCATAGTTCAAAATGGCTTACCTGGCTTTTCCATAGGTCCACCTGAGTTGTTTTACTGGTTTTCTAATATTGCAGACTGATGCTTTTAAGTGTATTCTAAACAGAAGCTCACTCTGAATCTTTTTAGCAGATCGCTCATTGTCCTTGTGCAGTTTTTCGTCAATCGTTTTAAGTGCAGCACTATACAACAAACACATACAATAATTTTATTAATTAATTTTATTAACATTTTGACATAAGTGTTGCTGAATACTTGATTTGACAAGATGATAATACACAATACCTGTTCATTTTCCTTGCCTTGCAGTTGTTTTTCTAGGAAGGCCTACAGGGCTTTGATGTCTATAGTATCGTCTTATAGTGGTGTTGTAGACGTGCACACCCGACTGCAACAGGAAAGCCCTGATGTCAGCAAGAGAGTGCTTTGATGTGTTGATGCATCAGTTTTTTTTTCATTGCAATGATTGGTTGAAATGATCTGTAATTAAATCTATAGTGGTCCTTCAAAGACAACTTAGATGGGACTTGAACCCACAATACCCAACTCCAGAGGCTGATGCCTTATCCACAAGGCCACTCTCATTAACATGAAATCACAACCTTTCTGCAGCTATTTTCTTGTTTGCATTTCATTATCATCCACCTAACATGAGACCATTAGTTGAAAGCCACGGTATACTTGAAGTCAAGATCTCCATTACCAGAGCTTTTCAGAACCTTTGATGTTTGTAAAGTGATTGGATAATTTAAGCAAGATTGGATAAATCTTTATTGAAGTGTGCAGCAAGTCTGAGAATTTGAAGCTAACTATTGACCTCAGATCATCACGCCTAAGGTTTGAGGGGACAAGTGAGGATTTTTTCCACACAATTTATATTTAACCCAACAAACACAACCCAAATGGGACTTAAACCCACAATTCCCAGCTTCGAACGCTGATGCATTATCCATTAGGCCACTGGGCCAATACTAGCATTTGCCATATCTGTTGTACGGTTTAGGAAGTTCTTGTAACTCAGAAAACAGCACTTTAGGATCCCTATACCATATTTCATTCTGACGATCTGGTGTGTACACCTAATGACAAAACAGCTTCTCTGAAGAGTTTTCAATTGTCATGTCTTTTTGACCTAAGGGTATGAACCTAGCTTTTTGAAAGCCACAATGGATTGTGCTGCACAGCCAACTTAAAAGGAACTGCATCAAAGACAACCCAGGTGGGACTCGAACCCACAATCCCCAGCTTCGAAGGCTGGTGCCTTATCCATTAGGCCACTATGCTGTTTCTATACTGCCTGTGAACTGTAACATGAATCCAGGGAGTTGCTGACACACATAACAAAAACTACATGAACAAAAAGTAGATTGGACCGGTTTTACAGAAATTTTTTTTTTTGACACTGCAGAGTGTTTCTACTGGGCTCATTGGTGTAGGGGTATGATTCTAGCTTTGGGTGTGAGAGGTCTTGGGTTCAAATCCTGAACGAGCCCTACATCTTTCACAGAAAAGCAGTGATGCTTTGGTGTTTCTGTGTTAGTTGTAGCAACTTTAGTTAATGAAGATTTAGTGGATTTCTGATCTAAATTAGTCTGACCTGTACAATAATACAGACAAAAAAGGAGCGGGAATGATTCGGTGGTTAGAATAGTTTATGGATCTTGAACAACGTTCCAGCTTAATATGTAAGCATCATCTTTGTGTTTGTACACAGTCTCTTCTCTGTAGGCACCATGCAGGCTTCAAAATGGCCATTTGCGTTAGGTATCTCGTTACCCTTTTAGTCATAACAGGTAGTATGGAATGCCAATCAAGGAAGTTAATGACACGCAAACACATCTTAAGAAGGTTTTCACAGCTACTGTGTTTCATCCACCAAACACTGATCTCAAGTTAAAGGGAGATTTTCAAGAGTTCACACTTAGCTGATGATTGACTATAAGCAAGTTTGGCATGCTGTCCCGGGAGAGAGCCCTGAGCCCGAAGGTTCTTGAGCCCTGGGCTCCCTCCCGTTTGGAGGAAGAGAGGGGAGCCTCGAGCTCAGGTAGATCTCGACAACTCCCCTTTTTATAATAGCTAAAGATTAAGATTGAAGGCTATTAAAAGATATGCTGCATTATTAGATTACCTGTATTGAAATTTAGATTTAACAATTAACTTGTTGTACATGTTTTTGGAATGTGGGAGGAAACCGGAGAACCCGGGGAAAACCCACGCAAGCACGGGAAGAACATGCAAACTACACACAGAAACGACCACCGGCCTGTTAAGGAACTAGAACCGGTGACGTTCTTGCTGTGAGGCGACAGTGCTAGTCACTGAGCCACCGTGCTGCCCTATGGAGGGAAAGGTGAAAAGGTAGGGGTGGAAGGGGGGATTCTTCAAATCGAAGATGACTGTAGTGAGAAAACCCTGGCTTTTTATAGTGGTTAGGAATGGCCTGATTGGTGGATCAAGCATGCTAATGCAGAACCAGCCGTGTTCAATCATAATCACGTGCTCCTCTCGAAATTAGTTTATGAATAAACTTCACTTCAAGAGTTCACACTTAGCTGATGATTGACTATAAGCAAGTTTGGCATGCTGTCCCGGGAGAGAGCCCTGAGCCCGAAGGTTCTTGAGCCCTGGGCTCCCTCCCGTTTGGAGGAAGAGAGGGGAGCCTCGAGCTCAGGTAGATCTCGACAACTCCCCAAAATGCTCCACTCGGGACAGCAGCCGCGTATTTGAAGAACCCCCCAAAGGCACAGGAGATTAATGCCATATCCGGCTGCTGAAAAGTGATACAGAAGTAGCTTGGAGGAGCAACAGAGACTGGTGTGGGTGTAAAAATTAACTGAAGGTGCTTATGTATGACTATGTGTGCTCCCAGGGCCGGTTAATTGTAAGGACCAGCGGGAGAGTGAGTGGGGTAAGTGTAAAGGTTTAAAACATATGTGGTGAGTTTCGTAAAGGTTTAGTATAGTAGTGATGGAAAATGAAGCTGTAAGGTTCTGCGGAGCTGTAGCTGCAGATGAGAAGCGGTTAACTGATTAACCGCTTTGGCAGTCCAATGGGGGGTGTGTCAGTAGTGGTATGGATAAATGGTAGTGTGCGTGAGCTCCGGTGGAGCAACACTGCTGCAGCAGTGGTGCAGGGGGGATGAAGCTCGGCTGAGCGTCTCTGCGACTGCAGAGGTGCGGTGGTAGTCAGTACTAAGGGGAAGAATACGCTTCTGCAGCAGCGTTTTAACTGCTTTAGCAGTGCTGGGAGTGACAGAAGTGGTATAAGTGTAATGGAAGTGTGCATGAGCTCCAGCAGAGCGTCACTGCTGCAGCAGTGGTGCAGGGGATGTAAATGATGCTCGGCTGAGCGTCTCTGCTGCTGCAGAGGTGCAATGGAAGTCAGTATTTGTAAGGTAAATACGCCTCCGCAGGGACGTTTAACTGCTTTAGCAGTGCTGGAGAGTGTATCAGTATTGGGTTGCTAAATGAAGGTGTATATGCGCTCGCTGAGCGTCACTGCTGCGGCAGTGATGTGGAGGGGAGTGATGCTCGGCTGAGCGTCTCTGCGACTGCAGAGGTGCGGTGGTAGTCAGTACTAAGGGGAAGAATACGCTTCTGCAGCAGCGTTTTAACTGCTTTAGCAGTGCTGGGAGTGACAGAAGTGGTATAAGTGTAATGGAAGTGTGCATGAGCTCCAGCAGAGCGTCACTGCTGCAGCAGTGGTGCAGGGGATGTAAATGATGCTCGGCTGAGCGTCTCTGCTGCTGCAGAGGTGCAATGGAAGTCAGTATCTGGAAGGTAAATACGCCTCCGCAGAGACGTTTAACTGCTTTGGCAGTGCTGGAGAGTGTATCAGTAGTGGATTGCTAAGTGGAAGTGTATATGCGCTCGCTAAGCGTCACTGCTGCGGCAGTGATGTAGAGGGGAGTGATGCTCGGCTGAGCGTCTCTGCGGCTGTAGAGGTGCGGTGGAAGTCAGTATCTAAAGGGAAGTGCGCTTTGGAGAGCTGATTAACAGCTGTGTAGCAGATAGGAATCAGGCACAGTAGAGCGACTCTGTGGCTGCAGGGGTGCATAGGTATTCAGAGTCTGGTGCATTATATGTGTGAAAGCAATACATGTTCCCGCTAAGTCTTTACAGCTGTATTATTGCGGGGAGTGTGGTGATGGAAAATAAATTGATACTACAATGCAATGTAATTAAGTGGAGCTGCTGTAAAGGTGTGATGGTGGTCAGTATGTAAGCAATACGAGTTCCCGCTAAGCCTTTATGGCTGTATTTTTGCGGGGAGTGTGGTGATGGAGAATAAATTGATGCTACAATGCAATGTAATTAAGTGGAGCTGCTGTAGAGGTGTGATTGTAGTCAGTATGGAAGCAATACGAGTTCCCGCTACGCCTTTACGGCTGTATTATTGCGGCGGAGTGTGATAATGGTTAAATTTTTGAAAAGTGTACATGTGAGCTCTTAAAGAGCTTCACTGCTGTGGCAGTGGGAGCTTGGGGCTACCCCTGTGGGAGTCCAAGCTGCAGAGAATGAGTGCAAGTGAAATTGAAAAATTATGAAGAGGAGGAGAAGGGAAGTTTAATAAAATAAAAAGGAAAGTTTAGTAAAAATGAGTCCTATGCAACTAAGACAGGAAGTAGGAAGAACAGACAGAGTCGTGCTGCTTGGAAACTAGGTTAAAGTCTGCAACCGAGAATCAGCTGGGCTTCTCTGAGGAAATATTGGCTGAGGCAAATTGAGGATTTAAAGGTGTTAGAGGACCAATGACAGAGTTTATGTCTGTTGTTGGAAGACTGTTCAGGCAGGGCGTCACTGCTGCAGCATTGGTGCAGGGGGAAAAAATAATCTCAGCAGAGCTTCTCTGCAGTTACAGAAGTGCAATAAAATCAGTGGTGCAGAGAATTAAGGCTAAACAGCCGTCTCTGCAGTTGCAGCTCAGGCAAAGCTTAACTGTTGCAGCAGTGGTGCAGAGGGAG